CACCATTTTAAGTAAGTGGTCTCTAGCTAGTAATTCAGGCACGTAGGAGACCAAGGCCTCTCCTGAGCTCCTGTATGTTCCCTCCCCTTAGTTTCGTTACGGCGGTGACAGCGCCAAAGGACCGGCCATCTCGGCGCAGGAGGCCCAGGCCCAGGCGATCCTGCAGCAGGCCCGGGTAAGCAGAGCGCCGCGCAGCCCGCCCGCCCGGCCCTGCGCGCGCCGCCGCGGGGCGCCGCTGCGGGGGACGCACGCTTGCTGCGGACGGTGTACGGCATGTAGGCGGAAAAATGCTAAGATTATGTCTTTGTCCAGGAGGATTATTTTCTTTAATGGAGTATTAAACAACCGCCCCTGCACTATTGCTGTACATAATTCGGGCAGCAACACAGAAGTCATAACACACGCGTTTTCTACGTTTTTTAGAGGAGTACGGATGGGTTTGTACCTGGCACTTGCTGTTTTTTTGCATCCAGTTCTTCCCACTGAGGCATAAGCCAATGATTAATGAATAAAGTAAGAAAACGAAGTTGAGATAATTTTTTCCTCTTAAACTTTTATAATATTTAGGATATCCCAAATAATTCAGTAAACGAAGTTTCTTAGGCACTGTTGTACAAGAGAGACACTTTCAAAAGTGTATTCGAAGCTCTCATCATTATAATCTATAATATTTTTATAAAATTCATACAATTTATAATTCTTTGTCAGCTGCAGGTTTCCACTATTATATATAAATATATATTGTAAGTATACAAAATATATCATTATTTTTCTTTTAATTATATTTGTTAATTGTATTTGTACACTTACAAAATATGTAATTATATTAGTTTCCTTTAATTTATTTGAAAGGATGTTTTAAACGAAGTTCACATTCGATATTACTTTGTATTAGTGTCAGGTAGGAGTACAGCGTAGCGGTTAGACCGTCACGGACCTCACAGAGTATCTGCCCCATAGTCTCAGGACCCACCTGGCACCATGCATAGTTAATGCAATATTGGTGCCCATGTTTTCAGTGCTGTGTTTTTACTTATTTTGAATTAGCTTTACTGTAATTAAATTATACATCAGGAAATCAAAGGAAGGAACTGGAAAGAGTTAAAAGTTATATAATACTTTTATTCACAGCGTAGGTTTTTTTTTTTTCTTTTTTAAAGGAAAAAGGAAATTAAGGGCTTAAATTGATTTGGTCGTGGGTACCCACTTGCTAAGTGATGTAAATCACTTCTGTGATAACTTTTTTATCGTCATAAACTTGTGAATGTATAAAATATCTGAACACATAAGTTTAAACTCGTTATCAATATTTGTTTAGATATTTAGCATGTCTGTCAGCCTAGAAAGTTGCCACTGTTTGCTAACATTAGGTATAAAGACAATGAAAATTTAAATATTCGTTTACTGGACCTTGGCATAAACAAATATAAAAATATTTAAAATAACTTATTAATGATTCCTACAATTTACCTTGTAAATCATATTACTTTGAACAAATTTAAGGTAATTATTTGAGCTTAAGTATTTTATGAGGCCATTGAATTCCTCATTTTATTAGTCCTTTAACTTACTGGGAAATAGGTAGCAAGCATTATAATTCCAATTTTTCAGATATTTAATCTCAAGGATTAAGAAGTGTATTGTCAAAAATCTCATGGTGAGTCAGTAGTGGAACTTTGGAGATCCTACTATTTTCATCTTGTGCACTTTCCTAATACGATTTTACATATTTCTATTACTGTATTATTTTTTGTATCTTTGGATAATCTTAGGTATTCACCTTTGGAATCACTAATATTCAAAAATCGTGCACCATACTAATTTAACATCTTTCAGATATTTATCCTTTGTGCTCTACTTGTTTCAGCTTTCCAAGTACGCTAATTTCACAGTCCTAATGTTCAACATCAATAATGCATGTAATCAGCCTCCCATGCCTATGATTTCACAGAATAAATGCATTTTTCTATATAGTGTTAAATTTGAGATTTGCAGATAGAAATGTATTGTCGTAGCACTTTCTGATCAATTTTGCATTTTGACATCTGACTTCAGTTGTCGTTTTTCCTAAAACACTGCTGGAAAATTTTTACTTTAAGCAACTCGAATGGTTCATCTGTAGAAGCATTTTCAACGAGTATTGCACCTACGCATTTGAGAGGTCTATGCATTATTCTGAAGTACACTTCAGGGTAGAAAACCATATCAGACCTTAGATTTCTTATCATAAGATCTATTTTTTACTGAATAAGTCTTCATAATATGTGGTACAAGATTACATATGTTAGAACAGCTGAAAAATGTCTGATACTTATGTAGGCCATGTACCATTCTAGAAAGTTGCAGTTCTTCAGTGACCAGGCAGCCTTTCTAGCATGTAGCTATTACAGCTGTATTGATCATCTGTTGCTGAAGGGAAGCTTGTGCACAGGAATACTGTGGCTGCATGTGTTGGTTCAGTAGACCATTCCTAAGTCTGATATATCTTATTTTCTAGATTGCACTGCGTGGTCCACCTGGCCCAATGGGTCTAACTGGAAGACCAGGTCCTGTGGTAGGTTACTTAATAAGATGGCGTGGGTTTAAATTCTTCCAATGGTCATTTCTTGCACCACTTTGGCCAAGCGTTGTCCAAATCTCTGGCTGGTGAAACTAGGGTACAGGTACCCCCTTCCGCTTAATTTTATTTCCCATTTCAATTGAGTCTGCAGTCAATTTTGATGAAAAGATTTCAGTGAAGAGTTGGCAAATCAAATAAAGACAATGAGAAATAGAATTTTATCATACAGCCAACTATTAATTTTTTAAGTATAATTCACATGCATAAAATGTAGTTACTAAAATTCAATTTTACATTGAATTCTTGAGACTTAATTTTACGTTAAACAGAATTTTCAGTAAAATATATTTGAGGTCAGTAAAAATTATTCCATAATATTAGGCGCAAACAGAATACGTGGCTTAAACTTCAGGCTGCCTCCAGTGTTCCTGAAAGCGCTCCACATATTTGGGAAATTACTTGTCTTTTAGAGACTCTTAGAAAATAACAGTGTTGTGTTTTCCCTTAGTAGCTTGCTAACAAGCTATATATCGTGAACAGATTTTTAAAGTATCTTCAAATCTTTTGAAATTCACCAAATATTAAGCAGGGTAGCAATTCATAAAATGCAGATTTTTTTCAAACCATATTTTTTTCTTTAAAAAAGAAGAACATTGTGGGATCCCAGCTTAAGTTCTCATGAATTTTAGAATTAATGGAATAAATATTCTCTAGTATAAGTATTTGTTTTTCAATATAAAAAGGTATGTCTGTTTTGCCTTCATATGATTTTATATATTTTCAATATACTTTTGAGATGGGTATTTATAGAAAATATTGCTCTGAACATTAAAAACTTATCTTTGATTTACTAGTGGACACTTATAGGAAAACTTTTATTCCAATTTGAATCAAGTATATAGTTAGTCTTCTGTTTAATCTGCTTTACTCTTACTAGGATAAGAAATAGTTTTCTCCTTGTATTTTATGCAAGAGTTTGATTATAGTTTTACATAAATTTACAGTCCTTTTAAGTCAATCTTGAAATTTCATAACATTTTACATATTTTGAAGGGCTCTGCATGCGGCCCTATGAGCTCATGTGGAACTTACGTTCTAACACGATGTTCCACAGCATTTAAATTGTACTTGATGCTCTATGCGTTATTAAGTGTTATCATTCATTTTTACTGCCCTGCCTTTCAAAATATAATAAGGAACATGGAAGATTCCATGTCTCTGAACGAAGGAAGAGATGTTGCTCATATTCAGTGGTGTGCCAGTGATAACATGCATTTACATGATGAAGGAGTCAGCAGAATGTAGCGGTTCACAACTTTGGGGGCAGAAGCATTACCCGTGGATTTTATTAAAAGTAGAAGTTCTTAGGCCCTGAACTTGAGACTCTGATGAAATGGGTTCAGGGGCGGAAATGGCAAAATATATTTTTAAAAGAGTTCACCAGTCTGATTCCTATGGTCAAGAATGTTTGGGAAATGCTGACATGTATGACCATCAACAACCATGTATGCATTCTCAATGTTATCTTCATGACTAATTAACTTTACTACTTACATCTTTGTTATGGAAAGTATCAGGCTCCTTAAATATCAAAGGTAAGTACTGAGAGAAACAAAATCATATTTTTTCTCTTCTATTACCTTTTGCTTCAAAATATCAAATTATTACAGACTTTCAAATATCTGTTAATGCTGGAGTCCAAAAAAACTTTATACGTTAAGAATTAAAAAAGAAATAAAGTCTATATCAATATTTTAAGAAAATATGTACATCCTTCCAATGAAAAAGTCCTTTATTCAATTGTTTTTTTCCAATTGCTTCTATAGGCAAATGGAGACTTAGGTTATAAAATATGCAGAAAACACAGAAAACGGTTTTTCCCCTATTCTGTTACTCTCAATAATTGCCTGACAATTTTTAGGACAAGTGTTTGGGCAAGTAATTATAATCTGTTGAGTAGGTAACGCTTATATACAGAGGATATAATGCGGTAAATTAATTAAAAATAAATTGACTGTCCTAGTATTCCATTCAGTGATTAATAATTAGACTAAGTGTAGAACCCCAGTTTTTCTCTTGAAGAAGTTTAGTTGCAAGAATTCTTAATTAGAAGTTTGAAAGTCATCGTTCTCGTCATCTTCAAGGTTAGAATATTCATGTTTTTGACCCGCTGTATTTTTCGGGCGTCACAGTATTAGTTATTTTCCTCTGCGGCCACCAGGGGGCTCTAGAGAGCTAACATTTTCACACAGCGTAATTTAATTTTAATCTTTGCACTATTGATTACAAATTTTACTTAAATCCTACACTTCTTAAACACACAAAGTACATTTCTATGACATGAAGCAACTATCATCCTGCGTTCAGTTTTAATGTTCTGGATCTCGTAAGGGGGATGTCCATGACCTAATATTTAGTGTACACTTTTTTATTTATTTTATGCTGTCACACCACCGATTGAAGCAAAACAGCACAGCATTCTGCCACTTCACCCAGAAACAGTGTGTTTGCTTTGCCCTTTCCTTACAGCTTAGTGGGTCAGGCTATTAGCAAAAGGCCCGATGAGTGCTTTTAAAAGGAGTACCTGGTCTTTCTGTTTAAAACTCACAGCACCTTTATAAAATATCTTCCAGTTACTGTGTCAGGTTTTTGTTGCACTTTTCGCATTAGGTAAATGTTTAGGAGAGGTATTTGTTATAAGGCCTTATTCTCGGAAAAACACAGACCCATCTGGGAAAGAAAAATGCTTGGACATTATCTCGGGACAATTAGAATGATAGCAATAGCGTCTGTTCTGCTGTAGAATGCAGTGTCTGATAAATTTCTGAGCATAAAGGCAGGAACCTTTTGCCAAGTCCTTGCTGTCTAAATGCGCTCCATCTAGACCTGCTTCAGTGAGAATGCGTTGTCCCGAGCACTCCAGCAAGTGCGATGATAAATAATGCCCGTGGGCTGTGGTCAGTGCTCGGACAGTACACACAGGGAAGACAATTTCCGATTGATTTCACCAAGTTGGCTCCCGTGGACTTCGGCTGAAAACAGAGTCTTTAAAGTGTAGCTCACGCACTGGCCAACCGAGTCTGAGAGGAGAGGCATTTCAATCAAAGGACTTGAAAGTTTTATTGTGTTAATAAAATCATACTAATGGATGAGGTGTATTTTAAATAATGTACAAGGTCAAAGTAGTTAGGGAATTGCTAAGGTAAATGTTGTATCTTCACTTGTTCTCTACAGGGGGTGCCTGGCTTATCCGGGGCCAAAGGTGAGAGTGGTGACCCGGGTCCCCAGGTAAAGAATATTTTGTCGCTTATTTTATTTTTGACGTTTTTTTCTCGGTAGGGTGATTGAAGTATCTGCCACTTGTTTTATGAGTAAGGAAATTACTTGCTTTGCCTTTAAGCTCACATCAATGCCTTTCCCCGAAAAATCCTTTGTGGCTAGTTGATTGCCAATGACTTGATTAATTTAAGCAATATTCAAAGAAGGTAAACCAGGAAGGGAAAAGGCTTCATAGTGTTAGCCCTTCAGAATATTAAATTGCTTTGGGATTGTTCAAAGCAGAGCAGAACTATTACATTTTTACTTCTGCTGGCCCGGCCTCCAGCCCAAGCTGGCATCTGTGGAGGTTAAATCTAAGTATATTTCCTCAAAGGATATTTAACGTCCTTCAAGGAAGTTAACATCAAACTCTGTAGAGCTGAGGAAAATCAGAGAAATTGAGAATATCTGAGATGAAATGTTTCAAAGATTTTACTTATGTGGTGCCAAATTAAAAATACTGTTTTTTTTTACTTTAGTGATAAATAAATATAGCTATTCAATATAGGCACATTATGAAATTTACTTATCCAAGGGGGGAAAAACCCAAAATGTGATGTGCTTTTATAAATGCATTCATTTTTTGGAAAAGTCCTTCTTCATTTACTCAATAAATATAAATGCAAAGTGGGGGCAGGAGCCTTCGCAAGCAGCCTCCCACTGATTTGTTGTCTTCTTTTCAAATTGACTTTATTAACAAAATATTATAATGTAAGATTGAATTCTAACACCTCTACACATTCTTTGTACCCACCACCACTATCAAGGGAGACCCTATAACCCCCCGCATTTCTCAGTGCCCCCACTTCGCAGTCACATCCTCTCCCCAGCTTCCCTGTCCCCCTGATCTGTTCTTCATCGTCCCAGTTTTATCTTTTCAAGATGCCCTGTCAGTCACCTCATCCGTCACGTGACCCTCTGATTCTGGCTCCTCCCTCTCAGCGTGGCTGGCGCCCTGAGTTCCGTCAGCGCTGACAAGTGCGCCAATGGCTCATTCCTTCTGCTGCTGAGTAGTGCCTCCCATGTGGAGTGTGGATGTGCCACCGGCGCCGTTTATTTACGTTGCCATGAGAAAAAATTCAAAGAGAATTGAGAACAGCTTTGGGTGACGAGGCAGGTGGCTGCATTCTTATGCTTGGTGAATATCACCGTAAAGGGGTGGAGGGTGTTTGCAGCGAAGGAATTCAATTTTTTGCAAAGGGTAGGAACTTTCTGATCGAATGCCCCTCTTTCAGAAATAGATGAATCTGGAAACATACTGCAGTCATATTCATGGATTTTGTGGTTTTTCTTGACTTCTTAATTCCAAAGAAATGCACTATCAGGTGGCTGTTTTCGTTAAAAACTAACAAGATTTGTTTAGTTATTAATTGCTGCTTACCTTCCCCCTGGGAAGGATAGAGTCCTCTCACTGCAATAACTTTTTAAAGCTATATTCTTTTAACCTCTTAAGTATCAGACCGCCTTCATTTTATAGTTTCCGTAATCAATATTTTACAGTGAGCAGAAAATTATTTGTAATTTTAAACGTGTTACATTTTCCACCACATTCATTATATGTGTACTGTTTAAATTATCTTTAAAAAGATATAGTTAATTAAATATAATTAAATATAAAGACCTATATCATAGTTATACTGGAACTGCATTTGACTTATCATTAGCTGTGTAGTTAAAAAACAGTGTGTCAGTCTCCATGAAAGACTTTATGCGTAGATACAACATTGTGTTGCGGTGGTTCAGGAGCCAGGCACACGGAGGATCTTTGACCTTGACTCTGACCAGGCACGGTGCCTGTCACCATTTGCAGCAGGGATGGTTGGGTCATCCTCTGCATTTTGGAGATGATTGAGAAAACCTGTGTGAGTTGTAGCCGTACAATGGAGACAAAGATCCAGTCCAAAGCCGCAGCAGTTAACAGTTCCATGGGAGGTTCAACTGTGAGAACAGGCAATTAAAATCAGCATGATAAATGAAATATTGTAAAAGAATAAATACCTAAGAGAGGAACTTCAGAAAATGAGGTAAAGGCAAAGAAAAAGGGGTTAGAAATAGAAGGGGATTAAGAGGGATGGGTTAAGAGCGTTTTCAGCTAAGGGAGTGAGTAAACCCCCAGGTGTTGAGAACAAAATGAGTAATTGAGGATTTTTTTAAAGTTTAAAATATTATTGTGTTCCTTTTGTTTAAATGAAGGTATGTGTCTATGTATACTTAATAATATAATGTGACACTTTTTTTGCAAGAAGTCATTTAGAAAAATTGATTCTCTTGTTTTCTGATTTATCTGGACTTTTACATAAGAGATTATTTTCTTAAGTTAAAATGATTAAGGTAAAGTTAAGTGGATATAAATTCCTAAAACAGTCTCACTCAGTGTGATTGAGTTTATTGATCAAGAATTTGGTACAATGAATTAATTATGATGATTTGATATAGGGTCCACGTGGCGTCCAAGGTCCACCTGGTCCAACGGGAAAACCTGGAAAAAGGGTATGGTTGGCTTTCATTGCGAATTTTGAGGGCATCTGAAATCATCAGTTCTTTTGTTTTCTCTTACTCTGCCGGTGGGATTCCCTTGTGCTTAATCATGTTCTTGGCATTTACCAGGGTCGTCCAGGGGCTGACGGAGGAAGAGGAATGCCAGGAGAACCTGGGGCAAAGGTCAGGGGCTCATTTGCTTATACGTTCAGGTCCTGATATCGGTTCACCCCTCAGGATTTCAATCTTAAAATAAAGCAACTTGATATGAGAGACTATGTCACCTTCAAATTACACTACAGAATTAGACAGGAAATGTGATGATGATGATGATGATGATGGTGGTGGTAGCGATGATGATGATGATGATGATGATGATGTTGATGATTTTACAGGGGGATCGAGGATTTGACGGACTTCCGGGTCTGCCAGGTGACAAAGGCCACAGGGTAAGATACACCATTCTGTTACTTTTTACAGAGAGATAATACAAGAATATTTGGAAATATTTTAGAATTGATACGCTCTAGGGAACTAGAAGAAAATTAAATATTTATAAATCCATTTAGTAAATTATTACACTTGCTAGATACTTAAAGGAAGATAAGTCCAATTATACATGCAATATCACATAAGTTCTTGAGTTGTTTTTAAGAATTTAAAATACTCATTTCATGCAACGTAAGTTGAGGTGGAGTTTTTATAGCCATGTACATGGAAAATATAATTATAGAAGAACAACTATAGAGATTTAACTTCGCCTCTACTTTTTTATAATTGCCTCAATTTTTCTCTTACATTTGCCTTACATTTTTTATTTGTAGAAATATACTCAAGAGAAGTCATCTGTAGGCAATCTGTCATTAGTTTAACAATGTACTGCATTCTCTTTTATTACACTAACTGAGATGGTCTTGGGAGACAGACACCACAGGCTGTTTCTTTGTTATAATAGGACCTTGCACACCAATGCAAGAGCCTGTAGTTGGCTAAGACTAACTAAGCTGCCATCGTGGACAGCAATCCAGTCGATATTTTTAGTGGGAAACTAAGCAGAGGTGGCCCCTCAAAAAAAGACCAGGTTTGGATCTTTCCATTTTTCTTCTCCAGAAGTTAAGAATGAAGGTAGGATAACCTTTAGATAAATTGGAAAATAAGAAAAAAAGAAGAGAGAACCCTAGAGATGTCTAGCAAGATAGTGTATGCATACTACATGTCAAGAGATATATGTTTGCCTTTAAAAAAAATCCAGAATGTCTTTAGTCTTCTAGAGTTGTGCTGATTTAATAGGAATTATGTTAGAAGCAGAGACAAAATTAATTAAATTAAAATCACCAAAGTGTATCCATGTTTGAAATAATCTTCAACAATGTAGTATTCAATGATTTATCTTATAATAATTTGATGGTTAGAAATTACTTAGGGTATTTTATTTAAACTTTTCTTGCATTTAAAATCAAGGGAACATTTCCCGGTATACTAATGTAATACCGGTTCATGTAAAATTAAGATTTTTCTACAGAGGGTTCTGAGGAGGGCAAATAAAACGTAAGTCTCGCTACCTAATGTCCTGTTCTGTTTGGTAGGAGAGCTATAGAACAGTCTTCTAAACCTTCTACCTTATTTTGTATTCTAATCATATTGGTATTTTTCTGATAGGGTGAACGAGGTCCCCAGGGTCCTCCTGGTCCTCCTGGCGAAGATGGAATGAGGGTACATTAAACTTCATTTTTAAAAGAAATACTTCAAATTGAACATAAGAACCAAGTCGTATTGAAATAACAC